ATTCTGTGATTCTGTGATTAGCACTGGCCAGGTAACAATTTTTAGTGGTCAAAAGCCAGACCTGGAAACAGCCGCTATTTTGATGATGACTTTTGATGGCTCCTCTTCCACATCCCCACAGCATGATTACTAACGTATTGTTGGCTTTCCATTCTTACAGCAATCCTTCAAATCTTATGTGTTTCTCTAACCCAGTGTTCCATTTTAAGGTAAAAAGGAAAAAAAAACCCAAACCATAAAAACCTTCTTCAATGTCAGTTCAACCTTCACTGTCACTGAAGAGGCCACTGCTCCACTTCTGCTAGTAGTTCACCTCATTAGACCTCATAGCTTATCTGCAAACTTCTCCTTTTTAAGGCGATCTTTTATAAGATCAAGTGACACGTTAGTTAAGATAGAATTTCTATGTAGAGCCAAACGACAGGAGTAAAATATTAACTTTTACTGAATTAATTCTGATTCTGGAAGCAATGAATATTTCTGTAACAAATGTCTATGTGTTTTTATATTAATAAAAAACACAATAAATCTTTCCATTGCTTGAACAGTTTTTTCTTGTTTGTTTATTTTTTTTTTTCTCTTTTTCTTTTCATATTTGCAGGTAGCAGTCTTTGCAGCACTCTGCAAAGAACACTGAGTGCTGTAGTAGTTTCAGGCTATCTTTGCAATCCTGTTCTAATTTAATAAGATTAATGACAGAAAATTAGTCAAGACAAGCATTTGCCTGTTTCGTTTACCCTGCTGTAGTTCAAATTATAGGTGGGAAAGGTTTCCCCCAAGTACTACTTAATTAATAATAAGTAGAAGGGAAAGTAAAAGAAAAAAAAATATGTAATCCTTACAGGGGGAAAATATTTAGAGCTCTGAGGCTTTCCTGTTAGTACAAAGGACTGAATTTGAATGATTCAGAGGACTATATAAATATAATTTGAAATTTCTCCCTTGAAAGAAAAAGTTAGAAGAAAAAAACCACACAAAGTAGATAAACCTCTGTGCACACTTTACAGTCAATTTCAGACTGAGAATCAGTCTTATAGCAGCTGTGCATTTCATTAGTTACAAAAATGTAGTAAAATTTCCCTCTCTCTTATTTTGGCTAGAAGACATAGTCCTGACATGTGCTAATGACTGGCTATGACAGAGTATTATGTTATCTTTTTGGACAGACATTTAAGGCTGTCCTGGATTTTCAGCTGTGTAAGTTAAAGTGAATTGTTAGGAAGACAAAAAAACCCATATAAATAATTATATAAATACTTTTATTTGGTTGATGGGGCAGTCAGGATTGCTTCTCTTCCTGTCCTTTACTGCAATATCAAGATGTGACAGCTAAGACTTTGTTACATTTGCAACTTTCCCTGCCAAAGTACAAAGTAGGGATGGTTGAGAGCCCCCGCACATGTGCCCTGTGTTCTCAGATGTGCTATGAGCTCTGCCAACTGCTGCTTGCCACGACATTCTCTCCTGGCCATTTACTCCATCATTCCATCAATTTTTGAAAGGTGCATTGTACAGTGATACTGGGAAGCTGTGCCATCACTTACAGCAGAGGAAAAAGCTTCTGGAAATTTCCCCAATAAGTTTTTGAGATTGCAAAATTTCATAATACTTGCAACCCTGCAAAAAAAGCCCCAAACAACTCAACAAAACTTTAAGAAAGGGAGATAGGAGAGCTAGGAAGAAAGCAGCCGTTCTCGCAGGAACTCATTTAGCAATTGCACTCTGGTGCGCTGGTTCTTAGATGCCTCATAAATTGTAAAGAAACAGATCAATGGGACTCACCAGTGGGGTCTCACAATGCTAAAAGTGGGTTTTTTGCTGCCAGGCTACTCCCTGAAGAAGATATATTTAAACTGGAAGATGTGGGGGTAGAAAGCCCTTGGGGTTTCAAAGAATGTGAGAGGTTACCGGCTGCCCAGCCAAGAAGACAGCAAGGTTTAGGAGGGAGCATGAGTGTGCTGCAAAAGCATGGGCTGGGCTGACACCTAGAAAAATTATGAAAGTTCTTAGCTAAACTTTCCAAATCCTGACAAGTATTTCACATCCAGTGCAATTTGAAAGGTGAACGATGGCTATGGGATGAGCAGTGGGTCTGTTGTGACACTACCCCCCACTCTGGGAGCAGGGGGAACAAATGGCTGGTTTATTTGGCTAGACTATATCTAAAATTATCAGAATTACACCACTGACAAAATGTTTAGCAACAAAATTATCATTAGTACCTAAAATATCACCTCAGTCCCCATATGTATAGCTATTTCTGTATAACCTGTAAATGGCTTAAGGAATTGACAACTTATTCACAGTGAAGAAAAATGTCAGAAGAGACATGGGGATTAGCAGCCCAAGCCTTGTTTCCAAAGCTTTTTAGGTTCCTAAAAATCCATGTCACTAGATGTTATGAGTATACTTACACAAATTTTGAAGAGTACTTTTACTAATTAGTAAAAAAAATGCAACTATGCCTTTGTACATACAACATACCTACCCTACCTCATCACTTGCAGTCATACTGTAAAGTTTCCTTGAGAGAGAATCTTGTGACTGATCAATTCAAACACTAACTGCAACAATCAACAACATGAATGATATGCAGTCCACCACGTGGAGCCATATGTGAGTAAAAAATAAAACAAATGGGACACAAAATTTTGTGTGTTAGGACCAACTAAATCTAAAGTAAGCCTTTAATATCCCCTCTATAACAGAAGCTATTAAAAAGTACTTTCACTTTTATTTTTGTAATTATTGTTCTTCTCTTTAGGTTTTCTCAAGGGTTTAATTTGGTTTCTGAAAAATGTGTGCTGACTTATCAGTCTTGGGAAATGCTGAGACTTCTTAGGCAATCAGCAAAGCAGGGAGTTTAATTTTAAACTAATGGATAAATTTATTGACATCATAAGAAACTGGGATGTTGAGAATATCTGCAAGTAAAGACATTCAGCTAGGTACCGACCTACACATTTCAGTGTCTAATTTTAGGTAATAAAAATTAGAAAAAAACGTTTTTCACCAATCATTCATTCTTGCTTTTGCAAACAACACTAGACAGTAACAAAATAGTTCTCAAAATTACAAGAATTCTTACTTATATGGAACAACTGAATCCACAGCATATTAATATCAATGCTTACTAGGGAGAGTTAGTTTATAAAACCAAAAAGCAAAGATATAGCAAAAGGGGGAAAAATAAGAAAGATAAAGCAATTACTAGAGCTTCTAATACCTCCCCTTTACCCAACCGAACCTCACTACTGTTAAGGCATGTGGGACAATGTGTGATCACACAGGGACATCTTGCTATCCAGAGACACCAAAAATATGGAGAGAAACTTATTCCCAAAACTCAGCTTTTGGGCTAGGAATTCTATTTATACAGTCTCTCTCTCCTCCATCAGAATTTTTTCTGGAAGTTGATGCCAAAAATTGAAACCAGACAAAAAAATCATTGGGGAGAAAATGTTATTACCTCCCCAGCCACCCACTGGCTGTTCAAATAATATTGTATATATCTGTGCACTTCTGCATATTTATTGAATTTGTCAAGTTTTTGTTCCCAAGTAAAACTTATTGGCCCTGTCAAAAGTTCACCAGCTGCACAAGTGACTTTGATGGCCTGAGGAACAGCCTTGGCGCTAGCGTCATGGAAGAGCCTTTGGCTTTCCTCTCCCTTTTCCAGCTGAGATTGGTATGTTGATGCATGGGGCCCAGAGAAGATACAGAAGGAGGGAAATTGAAAAAATAATAAACAATAAAAATATAAATTACAGAAAGCACTCACCAAGCCATCCTGGTTTTATTATATGGCCTCGAGAAGGAATTTTTTATTTTCAATCAAACTATGTGGAATATGCATTGTAAACATTCTGCACCCACTGCTTAACATTTTTATGGCTTGGTAGGAGAAGAGCTAATAGGAATGTAGAGTGGACTGCTACGTAATCTTTGTTGTAGGGCTGATGGGCTGTCACAGAGAAAGAACAGAGTTGGCAGGTGTCACCTCTTGAGATTGGAGAGAATCTGGGCGCACAAAATAGAATATTGGGCAGAAAATCCCCTTTTGCAGTAGGGTGATGAGTAGCAACCTGGTACTATTATCTCTGAAGGGACAACTGTCCCTCAAGGTGGGGAGTGAATGAGAGAACAGAAAATGAAGACTTTGAATAAAAAATTGAGACACACCCACCTACATTTTTTTCTTATGATCTAGAGGGCAACACTAGATATATCTGCCACGGCAGTCATTCATGCCTAGAAGGTCTCACATGTTACAAAATTTGAAAGTGAGGGGGGAAAAAAGAAGAATGTAGAGAAACAATACTCTGTATCACAGCAAATGCAGCAGGTTAGAAACATTCAACCCGCGGCTGCCGTCTCATGTTCATACTTACACAATGGTTTTCCCAATGTGCTTAAATGACTTCTCCACAAATTCACGGACGCTGTGGACCTCCCCAGTAGCTATGACAAAGTCCTCAGGCTCATCTGTTTGCAACATCAGCCACATGGCCTGCAGAAAGACAAAGTCAGGTTTAGTGCATGTGTAAGCGGCCTCTTTTTGGTACATTATATTATATTACTGCATTTTTGATTTGGAGATAACTATACATACACACACATACCCCCAAGCTGGGGAAATTAGCACTTTCCTAACATGGTGGCTATTAACCAATTCAGTACAACTCAGAAAAGAGTCACATTATTTCTTATTCTAGAAAACAATGCTTTATTTGATTTTCAATTTGTTTCACAGCAGGAGTTTCTGCAGGGGAGACTTTAATATGTTTACTTTTGAACACTGAGACTTGGTTTAGTGCTTAAAGCATGGATTCACTTGTTTAAAGCACTGCATGAATTGACATGGATATAGAGAAAAGAACAAAATTTTGTAATGTTTCAGTCCAGAGTGGTGCTGTATGTCTGCTGTAGAACGATGTCAAAAACACTGAATCACAAAAGTTTGACTAATTTTGCCTCTTTCTTCTGTCATATTTGCTTTGGCTAAGTTGAAATTTTAATTAAAAGTAATTATAAAGGTAACTAAGAATAGTCAACAGTGTATTTGAACAAAATAACCTGTTTTTCCTGCTGGATATGTGCTGAATGTTACATATTAAAGCACTGTAGCTAAAACCTTTTTTTGACACAGGAACACAAAAAACACTGGCAGAAAAGTGAGACAAACATAAACGTCTCTTTCAGATAACCATTTACGCAGCAGCAAAAATCACAATAGGTTTTGAAACAAAACTTCATGGAATTGTCAATGTATTTGCTTTTCAGGGGAGCAAGTTTACTTTCCACAGCCATGTCTTTCAGTGTCCCCTCCACAAGCAAGTAATGATGGATGACCACCATCTCAGCATGAAAGCAAGAAAGCAGATGGAAAAAGAAGCACACAAAGACACGTGTGACTTGTCTGAGGTATCCCGGCAGGTACATTTCAGTTTTCTGATGTGCAAGTCATTGCCCTAGAGACTGGAGTATTTGACTGCCTAGGAGCTGTAGGCAGACAGAATAATTATTACTTTAGATGAATCAAAATGATGTAACACTTCATTTCCTTTGGAGAGGAAAAGGGAATACCTGTATAGCATGATCCTCATTTAATAAATAACCAGAAAAAGAAAACAAAATAATTCAGCTTTCTCTCCATATGGTAAAAAGGACTGTCATCTTCTCACAGTGTAATCCACAACGCTATTTGCATTGACCTCTTCACATCAGCTTTAAAGAAAACAACTTTAGTAGGTCCCTTGATGGTAGTGGATACTCTGCAAATCAGATTAATAAAAGCTTTGGGACAGCTCAGTTTCTCTTGGTAAATAGCACCTCAAATATTCAATTTTTCCCCCTCCTATTATTAATAAATCTATGTCCAACATAGCAAGGCAATACATTCCACTTAAATGGTTCTATTTGCAAGTCATTTTTCTTCCCAGTTATTATTTTATGCAACTTCCAAAGTTTTGACAAGATTTTATTAACATGTTCTTTTTGAACCTTTTTGCCTCTTGAACGTGCGTGGAAGGCTGGGTTTCAGGCAACTGCTGTGTCAGTCCTTGACATTAATTGTGCTTTAGGGATATGACCTGCTGGGCAGGACAATGGCAGCAACTTTATTTTTCCTTTCCAGGGCTGAACATCCTAGCCAATGACGCAGAAATACCCGACTGGCTGATGAAACTCCTCTTGTGGGGAAGAGACGTCTTAACTAGTATCTCTTATATGAGCTTTCTTGGAACATCGGGGTTTCCCTGCTGATTTGAGAGGCAGCTGTAAATCACCAACTCCTGTTTCTTCATGACTGGACAAGCTTGCAGGGTTAAAAGTAGTATCAGCTTCAGGGAAAAGTAAAAGCAATATTTAAAATAAGTAATTGGTAATTCTGGTTCTCCTAGCCTAGTCTCTGATTTCACAGACCTTCAGCCTCCATTAAGCAGCCCTGCTGCAAGCAACAAATTTTCTCATATTCTGATATTTGAGCGAATAAGGATTTCCAAGATTAGACATTTGGTCAAGCAGAGTCAAAATTTAAAGCAGTTCTCCTCGTGACTTTAGTGGATATTTGTTATATATAAAATGAACTCAAGGTCTCATCTTTCCTTGTTCGAAATGTACACAGTACAACTAACAGAGATGTAACAATCAAACCTCATTTGTTGGTAAAAATCACCCTCCACCTGCAAATGCCATGTAAGTTAACTGAATGTGCAGTAAGGACCTGCTATTTACTATGCACTTCTGTAAAGTAGTATTAATATATATAAGTAGAAGCAGTATCAGACTTACAGTTTTTTGCCATTCCTCCACTTTTAAATACCTCAATATTGTAATTCATTGGACACAATTTTAGTGTGGGTGCTTATGTTGAGACATTCAACAAATCAGTGAGTATTTAAAATATTTACACATTAATTCTCTGTATTAATATAAAATAGTGTTGGAAGTGTCTCTTTACTTTAAAACATGCACTACACTAAAGGAGATAGCTATAAAATACTAACAAAAACCCAGTATTTGACAATTGATCTCACCAAGTTTTATGCACTTAGATGTATCAGTTTTTGTCTACCATTTCCATGAGCAAGCAAGACACTGGTCTTAGAAATACCACTTAAACTGCAGTAAATTTCTACAGGATCAGCTTAGCAATGATCAAACAATGCAGATAGAGTTGCTAAAAGCAATTTTTGTATCAACTCTTACCAGGAAAGAATGTTTAGATTAATGATTACTTGAGAATCTATCAGTGCTCATTCTTTTATTTTTTTTCTGGCACTTACAATTGTTGGCACTTACAATCACCTCAAATTAGGTATGAAAAAAATGAACATGCTAAAAATTACAAATGGAGTAAGTGATAGCTCTGTTTTCTTTGAGGAAGTTGACCAAACATTGTTGTTTTGAATGGGTCTGCATAAGGAAAAATGGAAAAGGCAAGGCAGAGGAGAGAAAAATCTTTGAACAAGCTCCAAATTCAAATCTTTTATTTCCACAGGTACAGCCCATGCAACCAATGAGAAATCTGTGTAC